GTTTTTCACAGAAAGAGACTGGAGCCAAAAGTGTTGCCATGGCAACAACACAGAAGGTGTCATTCTGTTTCTTTTGTGATGCACATTTGTGGTGCCAAGATATTCTTGATTCAGTGTTTTACTGTTCAAGTGGAACGACCTATGACATCATCACTTTCCTCATTTGCATAATACAAAAACGTAAATATCTCTAGAACGAAAAAAGATATTCCAAAAAGGGAAATGCCATTCTTCTTTACTTTGAAAAGCCTGTCAAATAAGCAGCAATTATTTTTTACTTCATAGGCACTTAAATTAAACAATAAATGACTTGAAACTAGCATGAAGTGTTTTTATCACAAATTTAACATTAACTGGACAGTGCTGAAATAAGGAGGTAAATAATTTGTGTTCCCAGATACAAAACACTTACCGCTGTAAAAGTCGCCTGTAAGACACTGCAATGGAAAGGAAATATTTATTATTTCCTGCCAGCTTCAATTATTTTCTAAAAATACTATAGAACAAGTAAAAGAATGCGATACTCGATTTTAACCTCAGATACCTAACTCTAGTAGCATTATAATGGAGGGACATACCTTGGCATATCAAAACAAAAGTACGATCCAAATGTTAACATGCACGTGAACATAAGGAGAATGAAACGAAACGGACCTGCAAAAATTCAACATACGTACATCAACTGACAGCTTACTTATAATCACTGTTTTCCACCCTCAAACATGAGAATTGTAACCGAGGCTTGGGGTAAAGTCAAAATAATCATTTCAGACCTCTGCTTGCATGGAAACAGCCTTCCCTTCGCCCAGGAAAAATAGGCTCTATGTCCGCCATGTTAGTCGCGATGACGGCACGTGACGAACGTGACACACACGAAGCGCGCGAGCTCTGGTAATGAGTATCGGGGGTCGCGGTAGCTAGGGGTAGGGAAATCGGGCGGAAAAAAAAATTCATGTACAGTAAGCAACCCACAAGAAATTCCTGCATTGAATGGTGGATAAGATACCACACAGGGGGGAAAAAGTCGTGCATAAAAACTTACCGCGTTTCCCGGCAGACCAGCACCCCCACCACTACCCCGCTCGTCAAGAGCTCCTTTAACAGTTCATCAGAAAGCCCTAAGTTAGTAGCGCTAACAAATATCTGAAGAGTCGGGTGCAGAAAAAAAAAAACATTGAAATTTGCCACATTCGAAATATTTTAACCGTGTTCTTCTGAGATGCTGAAAATCATATGGGGGACAAGTTCGAAAGGTTACACGCTGGCGTTACATATGTATTTTATGGGCTTGACATGGGAAGAAACGGCAACAACATCAGTCATTACATTGTGAGGACTGATTTTGAAGTCGCTAATTCCGAGGGTACTTACTGTTTAACAGAAAAAAACCGAAAATGCTGGTTTAAACTGAGTCAAATGAACGGTTATTTTGGAGCAAATCCGTGCTTCCTTTCCATTTTCAGTCTCTCCTCAAGGCAAAAGAAAACCCTAAAACTTAGGGTTAGGGTTAGGTAAACGCCATAGCGTACACCTATAAGCAAATAGTAGACGATGAATCAAATAATCAGAGCGCACGCTTTGCTTTAGTTAAGTTATAATCCAAAACGGTAGGTGCCATCTTGTTCGGTTGGATTGTTGATTTTGAACGGGTATTTCATCCACTTTCTTCTGACAAATGGTAAGCACCCGAATAACATGCAATTAAAACGCTATTCTAGAACAAGTTTCATAGAAACCAAAGGACAATTCAGAGCGAACAAGAAGCTTGGGTCTCGTTTCAAGGATACGTATTTTCCAAAGACAAATCACAGCCAGACATGGACATAATTCAATGAGCAAAGAACGTTAGTTTACCGCTTTTAGAAACTGCCAGTGTATGATTTTTCACGATTCTGAAATAAAGTTCATAAACAGGACAACTACAACACGGCCAAAAATGAATTTGCTAATTTCTTTTTTTACTATCAATTGTAAAGAAAACAAACAAAAGAAATATTTTTACAGCACAATACTAAAACACTGTTTTACAATAAAGTAAAAGACAGGTGACTAAAGAAACTATACATGCTTAGAAAATGGCCATATACATCTGAATTGGTTTTGCTAATGAAATTAGGTTACGGTTTCGGTTTTGTGCCAAAAATTCCGCAAATTTCGGTCAGAAGTGAAATGGAACGTCCGTCTTGGGACTATCTCTGGAGGTGGACCACTTCGGTCGGATAGTCGGAACGAAATTTGCGGTTCCAAAATGACAAACCAGTTCGTTGCCCTACTTTTCATTTATATGAGGGATTAGGGAAAGGAATAGAAAATAGTAAGAGCCATTCCTCTCTGCTGGCCCGGTTTGATCGGAAAATGCCGGTCCATTTTTCTCTGCTTAGTCCCGCTGATCTCTGGCCGGTCGGTCCAGCATAGCGAAAAGCACCCCAGGTAACCATTTATAAATACAGCTTTAGAAGGCCTATCACATTGCCTGGAAAAGAAAACGAATGAAAAAGAAAGAAAAAGGAAAACATTTAGTGCCGTTGAGAGGACAGTAACTTCCAAGGAACATTCATTTAGAAATCATGGTCATCACATTTACCAAACAAGTTTTGTTAATAAGGTCTTTGAAAATGTTTTTTGAAAATCAAAATACTCCAAAACAAGGCGTTGAGAACTATGTAAGTTTCGCCAACAAGACTTGTTTCCTAGACAACTCTCCTTGTTTCTGAGTTTTTGTGAACAACATAGGTGAATATTTACCGAGACAAAGTCGAGGCAGCCGTAAAATAAACAAAAGACTTTGCCAAGTGAGGGTTCACTGTGGGAATTAAATAAGTTGGCAATGGCTAATGCTGCTCTTTAAATTTTCTTAGGAGAAAAAAAGCTTTATATCTAAAAGCTACTTTTAACTATATCACCAAAGCGTATAATCTTAAAAATCAAATTCGCCTACTCGTGAAAGCTTCAGGCATCGTCTTCTTTTCTTGAAGATCGATTTAAAATCCCACCCTAGAAACAAAAACAAAACACACATGTTAACAGGTTTCAATATTTTATACTGGAAACTACTGGTGGCTAGACTCTTTCCAAGTCCATCGCGGTTGTATGAAGTCCATGTGCGTAGGACGAACCCGCGAACAAGGTTTGGACGTCACGGACACTTTTCTGGCATTTTTCGATTCCGGCTTTCACAGCTCGGCTTGTGGAAAAGTCTTAGCCCAGGTTTGACGTTGACTAACAAGACACATTATGCCTCTCTCCATGCCATATCGATGAGCACAGCTCCAAATGTTGAGACAGTCAGAAATACTGAGGGCCCGAGGGCGAAGGGAGGGGGGGGGGGGAGGTACCACCAGAAAAATTGGGTAGGGGTGTGCGGCTCACTTCCCAAAACCCTTACCCTACTAAAGACCAAAATCTGCGATTTTCTCTATCCTATTTATGACCTGACCAAAAGTTCGATACCCTATTTAAGACCTGACCCTTAAATCGATACCCTGTCTCAGACTGCGTTATAATTTGTTCCTTAGTTCACACAAATGTTAAGACGATGTAAGTGCTTTTATTAGGTAGGATAGCTTCTTCTAAAAAACACACCCAATTTCTCGATACCCAACATCTCGACACCCATTTCTGACCAAAACGGCAAAAAGCTATACCCTTTGGGCCTATATAGTCTATATGAGGGGTACCACCTCCCCCCGAAACTGAGGGTAACCTGTAATAATCAAGCATTTCATCCTGGGGGGAAGGGGAGGTAGCAAGACGAATGCTGTAGAACTCCAAACGAAACAGCCCCTTTTGAATATGTTAGTCTAACGGCTCGCAGTATTTGAGTAGTCATTAATTACCTCTTTGGATAGCTAAACTGCACAAGTAGTTCATTCCAAGAGACTCAATGAATCAGGTAAATAACGCTAAAATTACTACCATTCCTTGATATAGGGATAGGAAATATACTTTTCAAGCTCATGTCGACACAGTCCTAAGAGGATGAATGAAAACAAACCAAAAAACAATTCAATGAATCTCACCTTTCTTCTGTCATTGATGTTTACCAAAACAGCCAAGACAACAGAGGTCAAAGTATTACCCAAGAGAAAAATCACAACGTACTTCCACTTGTGCACAGATCTGGAGAAAAGAAGTAAATAAAAAATAACTGTGAACTTAACAATCTATTTCCCAGATTGCTCATAAAATGCAAGAGATTGTGAAAGCGCAGGACAACGGGATGAATGACATTTACGTTATAACATCAAGCATTTTTCCAACAATGATGTTTGTTATCCCCACACCGATCATCTGAAAAGAGCACGTTATCCCTATAGCAGTTCCTTGAGGAGAAAAAAAAATACTGTAGTTAGAGCACAGATAAACCCCACGAACCAAGTGAATCAAGAACAACAAGTACACCAGACGAACCACCTAAAACATACAAGTCAACAAGCAGGACCAACTTGCTAGTAAATCAACTGAACTAAGTGAGCCACGCGGTGAACAACTTAACGACAACCAGGTGAAACAAGTGAACGAACTGGAAAAGCTAAACCACGTGAAACAGAAGAAACAGGTTAACAAAGTCAATTCGCTGTAAACCAGGTAAACAAGCTGAACCTCCCTAGCTGTATTACGTCTTTTGTATTAGCCAATGTAATGTAAATTGTATATGTAAGAGGTGTGTATTAAATAAAAAACAGGGCTGAACCACCAGAACCGGGCAACCACGTAAGCCAAGAAAACCAGGTAACCGAAATCAACCAGTTTAACCAGGAAAGCAGGGTTAACCAGGTTGACCTAGGTGAACTAAGAGGACGTTGTATCCCATGCAGAGAACAAGGTCAACAAGTGAGCCAGGTGAACCTGGTTAACCAGGAAAACCAGGAAAAACGAGCAAGGCAAGCCTAGGGCATCATGTCAACCGAATAAATTGACTAACCAAGTGCACCAGACCCAATGATCTCGTAACCAAGGAATACCAAGAGAACCACGTGAAACAGGTTGACCACGTGAATCAAAAAAGCACGAGGTAAACCAAGTGAGTTGTGTAAACCAGGTGAACCAGCTGATGCAGGAAAACCAAGTGGCCAGGCAGAACTCAGGTTAACCAGATGAACTGTGTAAGCCAGTTGAAACAGGAGAATCTGTTGGAATCCACTGGGAACAAAGAATGATTCACCAGAAGATGTTGAAAACGTTTGCCGAGAGCTTTTAAAATATTTCTCATGCAGTCAATTTAACTATAATACTATTTCTTTGATGGGCAAATGAATTATTTTAACATACTCACCAATAGTTGCCTGTTCTACGACAAGAGGGAATGATGGCCAAAGAGATGCCTACAGGGAAAAAAACACATCTGAGTTAAAATTCTGAAAGGAGCTAAGTTGCAAAGAACTTTCCATGCAGTCATTTCATAGCATCCCTGGAGATTCAAGGTAGAGAATAACCATATTGACAGGATTCCAAGATGCAACTGATTCAGTTGCCATGCATATGGGCCAGGACAACTAAGCAAACCTCTTATTAAGCTATAGGCAATTTATTTTTCCCTCAAAATGAGACAGTGGGAGGTGCAAGAGACAGAGGTGTGATGCTTTGGACAAGAAGGGATTGGGATGAAACACGAGCACTGCACTCATGAGCTGGAAAACACCAATCATCCCCTTCTTGTCTTTCGCTTTTGCATTTGCAGATAAACACTTGTCACACCCTAAGAGATATGACTGGTTGCCAGCAGTCTATATATAGCTACATGTAATCCCTACTAGAAACAATAAAAAGGGTTAGAACTGGATGGTGAACCTGACCACACCACAGAACAGCACAGTCACAAACAAACCCCAATGGCTGATTTTGTGACAATATCTTCACAGTGTGTCAGGATAGAGGTTCCTCCTTATGTGAGACAACAACTGACATGCCTCTATATATTGTAAGGTTAATTTGGTAATTGTGAAGATCAGCTCCCAAAAAACCTGTTGGCCAACTGTCGGCCGTTTGTCAGCCATCTGTCAGTTGACTGACACCCTACCCAAGTCTAAATCTAGGCATCCCCTCCCATTGGCTCACTAGGCCAGTGGTATGACATAACTTGTAAGTAAACCAATAAATAGATAATACTACCTGACACTAAGAAGCTATATCAGTTGTTTTGTATTAAAAATTAACATATAGATTTAGGCCAGCCTAAAAGCGTAGCTCCTTGGCCGGGTAGCTCAGAGCCCGATTAAGCTAACCCAGGAAAAGGTAGAATTTTGATTTAAGTTTTGTAACTTTGTGGTAAGGTTTTCCGTATATTGTTTGGCCTTCTGTTTTGAGTTTTAATAATCACCATACACACAAAACAAAGCAGCAAAAAACATTTGTATAGAAGAAAAAGTTATAATTCGGTTAACTGTTAATCCTGGGTTAGCATTAACTGGCTTCCAAACAATCCTGCCCTGTTTTCAACAAGTTAACCTGACATGAGCCTCCGATCCAATCAAAAACCAGCACTTGGTCAGCGGACAACTTAAAAAAAACACATGACCTTGATGAGCTGTAAACTTGAGCCTGCGATATGGTCACATGATACTGGTCAGCGGATGCCTTGTTTTCACAGGTGTCCAATATCAAAGAACTACACGGTAAACCAAGGCTGCATGTCTCTGTCAACCTATTATTTGGAGTATGGCCGCCATGTTACGTGTCTCCGTCGCCTTCACTGTTGCCGTCGTCGTGCGTACACGCCCACGAGCAATACCATTAGCCATGATAACCATGAGAAAATCAAATCACGAATTTCCTTTTCTTTCCTATATGAGTATGGGGCTCCGATTGGCAGCCCTTTGGGCTGCCAGAGCTCAGCTATAACAACTGAGCTACTATGCGCGCTCTCATGGGTCGATAGGTGTGTTTAGATGAGAGTATGTAAACATGGTTGTGACGTTTTAGATTTGCTAGTATTTTTAAGAATTATTTGACAGTTGTACCATCATCTTCAGCTCGTAATCTTGGCGTTATTTTTGATAAGTGTTTTAACTTTGAGGAACACAAAATCAATTTGCAAGTCTTTTCATTATCACATAAGAAATATCGCCAAAATCAGAAAGTACATTGACGAGGAGAGTGCTAAAATCATTGTTCATGCCTTTGTTACTGCGAAATTAGATAGCAGCAATTCACTGCTATATGGTCTTCCAAAACATCTACTTTCAAGATTACAATCTATTCAGAATACAGCAGCTCGAGTTGTTACATGTACTAGGAAATTTGATCATATCACCCCTGTCCTAAAACAGCTCCACTGGTTACCTGTTTGCTACCATATAATTTTTAAAATTCTCCTACTGGTCTACAAAGCTCTCAATGGAACAGCGCCTTACTACATCAGGGAATTACTTAAGTACAACACCTCTCAACGGAAATTAAGATCGTCCTCTCAACACCTTCTGGCGACCCCGAAAGCTAGACTGAAAACATATGGAGAGAGAGCATTTGCTGTGGCGGCACCGAGACTATGGAACTTGATCCCACTTGAACTAAGATCCAGTAGTTCGATTGACATTTTTAAATGGCATTTAAAAACATATCTTTTTAAACAAGTTTTTTAACTCTTTTAATTTTTAGATTTTTTTTTCCCCTCCCCTTTTTCAGCTTTTTAAATATTTTTTTTATTTAATGTAAAGCGCCATGGACAAATAGTGGATTGGAGCTATATAAATATTTTATTATTATTATTATTATTATTATTATTATTATTATTATTATTATTATTATAAAACCAATACAGCACTTTTTAAATGTTTACATAGCCTCATCTGAACACTCAGGGGCTGGGAGAATTTTCAAAAGTTATGCAAACCCGAGACGTAGTAGAGGGTTTGCATAACTGTCTCAAATTCTCCCAACCCTACTTGTGTTTAGATGAGGTTACGTAAACACGGAAAAAGTGTTCTATTGCTTAAATGTGACAGCTCTTGTGAGCCCTTTGACTTACAGCAGCTATAGAGTAAGTGAAGCCAAGCCAGATGGTGGCAACTAGAGGATGAACACTTGGTGCAAACGCCAAAATTCCATACACAGGGATTGTCAAGGTTGTACAAAGAAATATCAGAATCCCTCGCCTCCCAAACTTATCCTGTAGATAAATGACACAGCATGATTTTGGTAACAATTCCAAAAAAAACAAAATGGTTCTTCTTATATTTTATAAAAATGCAACCATTCACAAATATAAATTATCTATGACTCACTTGAATGCACTGAATAGGCTAGGCCAGTACATAAACCATCCATACATTTGCATGTAATAACTGCTTGTGATTTTAAAAAAAGTGGTGGTATATTCTTTATACAGCAACAAGCAAGTACCATGATTTATAAATTTTCTACCTTTTTTGAGTCCAGCAATCCAAAAGAATGAGTATGGACAAATAAAATTATTAGTACAGACCAGAATCTGTATCAGGGCTGTCATTAAGTTTTGGGTCACCTGTAGCCTTGTTCTCCCAACCCGTAGCAAACTTATTTGAATTCTTGGTTGAATTCTATAAACAACAGGCAATTTCACCCATACCATCAGAGAAAATCAAGCATACTCAGTCGTAACAGGCGTTATGGGTTACAGCCCTTAATGACAGCCCTGTATATCCTGTTCTGACTGCTGCTTTTATAACAATCTCCACAAAAGAATTAGTTTTTACATCTATTTGACTTACCACAACTAAGCCCAATCCAGGAGCAAGGATCATGGACACAAAATAAACACTTCCAGCAATGTATGAAGACTCTTTCTTGGTAAAGTCAAATGTCGCCTTGTAATTCACATAAATGAATTTGCTGAAAATAAAACACTTTGTTTTTTGGTTTTTGGCTGTTGGAATATGCTATAAAATTGTTTTTGGATAAAGATTGGATTTATTCACAAAAGTTTGTTAACTAATGTTTATAATACATGATAAGCCTTATTCTCCTTGAAAATTCACTACCTAGAAAAGTTAAAAAACAAATGTTAAGTCTTTATACAAGCCAAGTGGCTCGCCAGGTGGGCACTCCTGTTTCTGTAGCAAGAAGTGACTGAGAGTATATCCGCTACTCCCTAGATGGGATGTCATCCCAAGGCTACCCATGCATTAAGTTTACCTGCACCCATTTACACTTCCAGGTGGAGAGAGAAGTACTGTGAGAGTAATATAAAGTGTCTTGCCCAATTACAAGTGAGGGCTTGAACCAAAAACATGTGATTTGGAGGAGAGCACACTAACCATGACGTCACTGTACCTCCTGCTACCTAAAATAGCAGTATATGCAGACTAGAAATATTTTTCGTTACCTGGCATCAGACATGAATGGTAAGACTCCAGTGTAAAAGAACATGAGACATATTGTCAGAAGCCAGTAAGTGGATGACAAGTGCTTGATATCTGACAGTCTCTGAAATACAAAAAGAGTTCTGCTTAGTGCCATTGAAACATTTAGAATTAAAGCAATTTGTGATGTACCATTTTCTGTTGACAAAGGTTTGGGATTAATTTTAAACACCACTTTGATATCTTTTTTTTTAATATCTTCGTGTTTCATCAATGCCTTGCCCTAAATCCTCTTTCATCTATAATGGCCCATTGCGGGCCTTTGAACACTGTACGACACTAGACTATCTTTGTGCTTTTTTGGGACTCCTATTCTTGAAACAGCTGTATACAAGGTTCTAACAAAAGCCATTTGGGAATGTTATTGAGGTTGCTGCAGTGATAGAATGCCAAGGATGGAAAGCTCTGATATCTTTTAAAGCATTGGTAAATAATTTGTTTTTGATACCTGAGGTATGGGAAAGGAAATAACAATTTGATTGAACTATTTTTTAAAAAATTTTTTCAAAAAATATAAAATCTGAAAAAAAAGTAACTCTATCTCATAAAAATTAATTTATTGCTCACCATTCTTTTTGATTCAGTCTTCTCTATTTTCTGTGATTAACAAAATACATGTTAACAAACAAATTCTCCTTACTTACACCACTGGAATACAATAGTTATAAATTATACCACAGGAATACATTTTAAGTCATAGACAAAACACAAGTAAGTTCAGCATCAAAAGAACTGAAGGTCAATATTCTCCCAGTACTGTCCCTTGCAACCTTGGTTAGTAAGAGATATACTGCAGAGCTTCATGACTGAAAGAATGCCTTACAAACAGTACCAATACCAATTAATGCTGGGCTGTACACCTGCAATAGACCAGCGTCTCATCCAGGAGGGAGCAGAAATACTCTTAGTTACTAAATGCTACTGAACTAGAGTTAACTGCTGACCCTGGAAAACCTCCCAAGTTTGAAGCATACTGTCCTTAATAGATCAGAGCCTGGGAATCAAAGGAAGAAACAAAAAGTTCTGTTGGAAGGTCCCGACAGGGCAAATTAAATCTATTGTTTTGTTTTTGTTTTTGTTGTTTTTTTTGTGTTGTGTCCCCAATTAGTAGTTAATACTAAATACATTGACACTTCAATAAAGCTATTATGTTATGTTACTATGCATGAATTACTTAACTAAAATGTTTCTATTGATTAATTCTTCAGGTAGTAGTAGCAAAACAATGTATTATATTTTAATTTTACAGTGCTTTGCATGCATGCAGTCAAGGCCAAAAAGCAAACAAGAACATAGCAGGTTCAAGACCATTCCCTTTCTTAGTTAATCTTAAGTACAGATACTGTACCTTCTTCAACTGTTTCATTCCAATAACTTCCAGCATTGATATCATAACTGCACAAAAGACATCAGCCCCACACAGAAAGGCTCCTGAATGAACACAAAATAGCACAATAATTGAAAACAAATTTTTGGCAATGATGTGTCATAGCAGCTGAGTAAACAAATTAACATGCAATCTCAGCAGCAGCTTTTTCCAAATTATATTAATGTGGCAGTGCTCCTGATCACCAAACAAACCCCTGGAAAATCTTTTGTATTTCTTGTTGTAAATTGTCCTGTATAAACATGCAGAAATCACTCACCAAAGGAAAAATATGTATAAATTAACTGTTGCAATGAAGCACCAGTAGATCTGACTAAAAAATATGTAACAAAAGTATCCAATTACATAAGTCTAAACAGGGCCAAATAGGAAATTACCGGTAATTTATAAACTATAATATTATTATTACTTAAACAGAAATCTAATCTCACTAACTTCCCTGCAAATATTGAGTTATGGGCTGCTGGATGTCTTAGGACAAGAGGTGAAAGAAACAAAGAAAGGAATTGAAGGCCAGGTGAAGGGAAAGGGAGGGTGAGAAAACACTAGCTAGGGATAAAGGCATCCGTGGAAAGAGTACAGGAGAGACCAATAAGATAAGAGTATGGAGTATCAATGTGGTGTGTCCGTGCTGTACTTCTACAATTTAAGCTCCAAGTGACAAAATGCTGACTTGTTTACTCTTATACTATACTGTATAGCTATATATGCTAGGGTATTAGACCACTGAGACTAGATGTTGATTTAGCTAGTTCATAGAGTTTGCCCAAAATAGCAGACATATCTTATTTTATGTTACTGTTTCCTAGAGGAATGGCTGAAAAATGTGCCAGAATGTATAATAATATTACAGTTTTATTAATAATGATTTTCTTATTGCTATTACTGTGACAACTTGATAGCTCCCATTGTCATACATTACCTCCCCACAAAGTCCACCGAAGACCATACTTTTCACGAAAGCTTTCTGTCAGGAAGAAGTTTAACACGCTTCCCTAGAATGGGATGAAAACAATAACACTGGATGTATAACTTATTACCACAGGTCAGCTAGGGCTTTCAAAAGGAGCTGCAATTGATGACAATGACAATAATGAACTTACAAGTCTTGAAACTGCCAAAAGACATCCAAAAGCAAATGCAAGCTCCTTCCCTTTGAACCAGATGGCAACTACCCTGTTTTGGACAACTAAGGAGAAACAACTGGCTTAATATTGATGTGTTGTTCCAGAAAATATTCACAACCCTGCCACAGAGCGCTTTTTGGGTTTGAATCCATCCCCCTCCCGTCCCTTTGGAAATTCCAGTTTTGGTTCATACTTTCCTTATAAAATTTTGATTTTTGAGACCTCCCTTTGTCCTCCCGGTGGAATTTCCAAAACTTTCCTTGGGGTGGGTGTGACCATTTCCTGGAACCACTCAATAATGAGTTTTCAAACAGATATTATTTAAGCCTTCCTGCATAAGCTACATTGTGGGAGGCGCGATGGCCTCATGGTTTAGTGTGCTTCTCTCCGAACTGAACAGTCTCGGTTCGAGCCCTGGCCAGCTGGGACATTGTGTTGTGTTCTTGGGCAAGACAGTTTACTCTCACAGTGCCTCTCTCCATCCAGGTGTTTTAATAGGTACCAGCAAATTTAATGCTAGGAGGTAATCCTGTAATGGACTAGCATCCCATCCAGGTGGAGAAGAAATACTCCTAAGTCGCTTTATGCTATAGAAACTGTGATAGGCTCCGGCCTGAGCTGATGGGTCACCTGGCTCATGTGCAGACTTTACCTAGTACCTTACACCTTTATAAGCTACATGCATATGGTGTCCTCAACACGATGCCAGGCTTACTGGCCAGGGTAAACTAGATGAGCAAAAGTACTTTTTAAATGCTTCGATGAGAAACATTTTGTTATTTTTGAGAAGCAGTTGAGACATATTCCGCTCAAAGTTCAGGCAATAAGTGCAAAAATTATTTACTAAAAATCTACTCGTAGCACGGTAACTTTTGGAATACTATTTAATACAACTCACTTTAGTTCAGTTCTCTAGCTAAGTGACCCCGCGATTAAATTCTCAAGAATTCTTGAGAAAGTTTATGTCAAACCTCGTAAGAATGCTTAAAGCGTATGTTATTGTGTTTTTAACTAATGCGAAACATCTGTTTTAAATGAAATATGGATAACTTCAAGTTCAATTTTCTCTCGCGGGGTCAGCTTGAGAGCTTAAGTCTCGATACATTCTTCTTAACTGTACTCAAAATATTACCATGCCAGGAGGTTTTTTTGGTAACTGAATTTTTGCCATTATTGCTCAAATGTTCTGTGAAAACCATCTTAATTGCTTTTGAAACACATGCGAGTCAAAATTTGCTATAAAATGGAGAAACAAATGTTTCAACAGAACTGTTTCACATGTAACTCCTGCCCTTGGCTTAGATCACTTACTATCAAATAATACCTGCAATCTTCTACTTGTTCCTCTGGCATGTAAAATGTATAATTGCACACTTAGCAGAGGTTGCTCCTTAAAAGTTTGAGCTAGTTCTTCAAAAACCATCTGATGACAGCACCCTAAAGTATACATCAGGCCAATGTTCTATAAAGCAGGAGCTTATGCTGTTTTTATAGCATGAAGCAAATTATGGGCGGGAAAGTATGTTTAATTAATGACAACAGCCACTTACCTGTTAATCCACCAGTTCCAGATCTGTGGACAAAAACACTCTAACCTCAATTTAACAGTAATCACTTTTTATATCATTCACTACAACAGGAAGCATTTCATTTGTGACAAGCTTATTCAAATTCCAACATCTTTGTACTAAATAGGATGGAATGCAAGCCCATCACACTGTGATACTTAGAGCATTTTGGCTGTGTGCCCTAACATTAAAAACCATCAATCATTATATCCCAATCGATCACATTTAACCACAGACCACAAAGAGTTTGGCAACAAAGGAGTTTATTGTCACGCAATCAAAGAAGCCGAAACTGCATTGACAATAAAACTCCAATGCCTTAGGGCGGGAGGGTATTAGGGTACACAAAAGCTATTGACTGCAAGCTGAGAGCGAATGACTGACGTGACGTGACAAACTACATGCTAAAGAATAGATAGTTATCACGCATCAATTATCCATCATCACCCGGGTGATGATGTAACCAATTGATCACATTTAACCACAGACCACAAAGAGTTTGGCAACAAAAGAGTTTATTGTCATGCAATCAAAGAAGCCCAAACTACATTGACAATAAATCTCCAATGCCCAAACCCAAATGAAGAAGAGGTAGGTGGGTAAATGCGAGCGTGTGGAAGAGAATGAGACTACGTGTTAAAACCTGAACTAAAGTACTATAATTGAAGCTACGTAATTCTAGAAGCCATGAAGTTGACTGCGAGAAGCTTCTGTGTGGAGGACATCTCAAGATAGACTAAGTAAGCGTCACTACACCAATCCCCTTGAAACTTAATTAATTCTGCTGGGATTAGGGTTATCTGCAAAAAGGCACCCTCAGGGGTTAAAACGAAATCACGGTGGCAAGGTAGCTTATCAGAAGTCACGCTAGGAGAATCCACCACTAAGTTAGACTTGCGGAGAAAGGAGAAAAAGGCCACCAAAAAAAGCGCCCACATGGCCGCATGGAGAGGGTTTCCTAAATTGAACAAACGAGCCATGGACAATAGCAATTCGGGAGTGAACTAGCCGTGAGAAACATGCAACTTTCCTGTTAAGAACACAAACATTGATCCTTAATCTTCCTATGGCCCAAGCACAAACCGCTGTCCAAGTCACCACACGCAGGGATTTCATTAAGGGCTGTGTACCGGGCAAATTGACTGGCTGTGAGGATGATTTTACCAAACTGGTTTGATCATTTAATCTAGAGGAACATTTTTCTTATAAAGAAGTTTATGATCAGTTCAAAAAGGTTTTGCTGGCCAGACACTGAGAACCACTTGCCCTCCCGCTGAAAACCCACTGACTTGTGAATGCGTTATGTCCTTTTTGTCACTGCACTTCCCATAACCCCAACATTGTTTTATAGCTATTCTGCAACTACTGTAACTTACCCAAAAAGTATTCTTCCCAGTAAGAAAAGTGGGAGCATAGTTGATGTCCCTTTGAAGTACAAGCCGATAGCAAACACAGATGTACCAGCCAGACACATGGATGAAAACAACATAACTCCAACTTCCCCATGTTAAAAAAAAATATGAAAGTAATATTAACATGTTGAAATGACACTGAGATGCACTCTTCGACAGTCTGACAGATGAGAACACGGAGAAAGCTCAAGCTCACATGCGCTCTCATTTGTCGGTAGGAGTGCTTAGATGAGAGTATGCAAACACATTTGTGGTGTTTTCGATTTGCGCAAATTCTTGAGAAATAAATGCAATAGTAAGAGTACTTTCTCTGTGTTTACTTAGCTTAATCTAAAATCTTGAGGGCTTGGGAGAATTCTCGAAAGTTATGCAAACCTGAGACGCAGTTGAGGGTTTGCATAACTGTCTTGAATTCTCTNCCCCCCCCAAAGTTTAGATGAGGCTATGTAAACACAGAAAAAGTGCTCTATTGCTTAAGTATCAAGATAATTTATTAATAACACATACTTGGATTTCCCAGTTTGTCAACTAGAATGCCAGCGAGAACAACCACAATAACATTTCTGAAAAAAGAAGAAGCAGTTACATGTAGGTGATAAAACTTAACTAGACATAAACAGAGTAAAATCATTGCTTTACTTACGTCCAGGCATATATGGCGTAGAGCAGATTAAACTGAGTTTCACTCAGTCCCAGACCACTGGTACAGTTGGTTCCATTGACATTCACAAGTTCAGCTGGTTCACCATCCACAGTTGTACAGTTTCCTGTGCTGTTGGGATGTAATGGCTACAGAAAATCAACAAAAGACATAAATCTATTGATCAGACATGCATGCTTAACAACTTCGACATCCATACATCTTCTCCACCAGTGCCTTTGTTTTGAGCAACTTTGTTAGTTCCTGGTATCCAAAGAAAAAAAAACCTGGGATTTCATTTTGTTTTATTGACTGTCAAAGATAAAATAATACGTTTGTTTGTTTTTGGATGATTGGCAATCTTCTGTTACCTTCAGAAATCTTTGGTAATCTTTGGAAATTTTCGGAAATTGTTTGGAAATGTTTGTGTGGCCTTCAGAAAATTTTTGGCAAATCTTTGGAATTCTTTGCTAAGTGGTTGGAAATCTTTGGAAAATCATCATAAACGTCTTATCAATATGTCTATATAATAAACAAAATAATACATGGTTGCTTGTAGATATGGAATATCTCTTCTTGTGTTCAACTTTATATTTCACCTGTTCACTATGTTCACTCACGAGATATCGAGTTGAACACTTGAAGAGATATTCCATATCTATGTGCGCCCATGTATTGTCCTCTCTATATAACACTTAATAAGAATAATAATTTACAATAATTGAAAATAATCAAACAGGGTATTCACTTCAGTTAATTAACTGTTATCAATGTGGACTTGAAATAATCATGAATAATTGTCTCCCTTGGGACCTGAGTCATTAAGTCTGGAAGGCAGTTCATACAAAGATAACAACTGTGAACATCTGAAATGATTCAGATGCATATATTTTGTGTCCTGAATGCTAATGGACCACCATGTTGGAGTTGTTATGACAAAACAAAACCTGTGAAAACATTCTAAAACTAATCACATGAAACAAGCATACACTTTTGATCAAAAGATAAAGGGTGTGTCCAATGTTGATAAAAGAAAATAAATAATCTCATTTAGAAAACAGCCCTAAGAAAATACTCGCACTGATTGGTTAAAAATCATGTTTCTATAACTTGATAGAAACACAGAACTAGCACGAACTGTTGATGTAACGATGGTGTCTGCAAAGAGAATTTACATTTTGATGATCAAAGTGAACAGGTTGTTTTCTTTTTTTTGTCGCTGTGTTTTCTAAAATAAATAGAAAACATGTTCTCTGTGTTTCTATCGAGTTATAGAAACACTTGTGAAGTTTAGGAGAACTGCGGCTCGTGTTCCCACAGCATTTCTTGTTCTCCCAAACTTCCACTCGTGTTTCTATAACTCAATAGTTACATGGTACATGTTTTCTATTTCTTAATTATACCATGCCAGAGAAAATGCAGCCAATCAGAAAACAGGAAAGCCATTGTATATTTGACGGTATTACATCCAACTTTCCCATCATGTGCCATGCATATGTTGCTTGTGTTGGCCACCGTATTTTCTATGGCATGGTATAAAATTATAATTATTTTTATGCAACGCTCTCTTTCGTGGTATATCACGGAATATCCCCCTTGTCACATGTATTTTCTTGGTATATTTAAAGCTCGTATGTATACAGAGAAAATTCCAGTGACTTGTAGAATATTCCGTGGCATACCACTTAAAACCGTTGTACCACTAGTCTGCATTCGAAAATTCCTCGAAAAATACAAAATACCTACCGCTGTGAACGTTGTTTGTAATACACTGCAAAGGAGAAAAATATCACAGACAATAAACTACAGTCTGATGTCCTTCACAATTTAAAATATTTAAGGTACAGAATGCAATGTAATATTTTAACCTCAGATATATTATATATAACGCTTATAGTAACATAAAATGGAGGGACATACCTTGGCATATCAAAACAAAAGTATGATCCAAATGTTAACAAACACGTGAACATAAGAAGAAAGAAACGAAACGGACCTGCAAAAATTCAACACATTTATCAACATATTTTCTGCACCTAAACACTAGAATTGTACCATGGATTTTCCCAAATCAAAGTAATTTTCTGAAACCTCTGCTTGGATTGAAGCAGACCACATTTCGTTCTGGTAAAAGAGGTACAAGCTCATCAATGTCCGCCATGTCTTCTTCGCGAATACGGCACGTGTTTACCCGCGGGGGTGCAGACTACTATCTTTATAGCGTCCGACGAGCGTTTGCAAAAGCCCTTTCTATGTTTTTGAGAGAAAAACATAATGAAGCAGTCCAGAGGAAGCTTTGCATAACCCGTGACGGTCAAAAATCCCGTGACGACCGTCCCTAACGACTCGTGACAACCCGTGACAGGAAACAAAGTCAGTATTTGGAATTAGCCAATCAGAAGTCGTGTCTATTGTCCTGTCATTATATTTAGGGCACGTCCACACTACGCCGGAGAATTTTATTTCTACGCTGATTTCTACGCTGACTCCTACGGTTAGGTCTACCGTCCACACTAATACGTAACGAAAACGGAGCTTTTCGAAAACGCTCTTTAAACCGGAGGAATTTGAAACGTCGGCCTCTCATTTTCGTTTGGACGGAAAACATTTTGAAAACGGAGCTTCTCGTTAACGATCGATGACTCCATTGCCCGAGTTTCACTCAAACACAAATGCAAAATGACAAAACACCATAACATCACCTTTACTTCACCTGGGATTTTACAAGAGTAGCTGTATAGCTAATTTCTCCGAGAAAATAATAAATGAAGGAATAAATAAATAAATAAATAAATAAATAAATAAATAAATAAATAAATAAAATAGTATGATCGGTTATTGTTGCGTTTTCAAATAGCTCCGGCGTAGTGTGGACGGAATACATTTGCTGCGTTTTCAGAATGAAACCTCTGTTTTCAAATTCCTCCGGTGTAGTGAAGAGGGGGCCTCAGTATTCGACATTCGCCAATCAGATGCCGTGTCCACTGTCCTTTCCAACACTATGCCGGAGGAACTTGAAAACGCAGCTTCATTTCTACTGTTAGAACTACCGTTCACACTAAGTATTGTGGACGGGGTCTAAGATATCAAGTCACTTGACCGAATTTGGGTACGGTAATCATCATCAGCAGCTTATGCCAAAGTTCAAGCACAAGACAAAGTAAAGTTTTGAAGAATCGACTGATAACCGCATTAAGCTTTTTGTGATTAGACACTTGACTCGGCTTTGTTGGGATCACGGCTTACTATTTCACTGAGTGAATCCATCACCCCTTGATTCGTTCAAAAGAAACCATCGTATCAAAATGATCATTTTGAATTGGAGCAAGCTTAGTCGAATTTTGAAGTCATGTCGGCCGTCTGATATATATATAAAAAAATAATATTTTTCAAGGAGGATTTACTCGGTCCCCAAGCCAGTTTGAGAGTAATTCCTTGTTTGTAGACCCAAATCTCAACGTATACGTACCCGGGGCCATTGCACGCGCGAATAATGTACGTTGCCGACGTCACGGTATTGTCATGAAACATCACTATGGTAACTGTAAGTGTTTATTCTCAAGGTGAACTGAGTGTAAAGAGCGTGTCTTTTGTGTTTTCTTGAGTAATACACGTAAGTTTAGGAGTGTAAAGTTTTTTGCAACGAGTTCGAGGATTTTCAACAGCCCGTCGAAGCATTTTCTAGCAAACAAAACTGTTTCTTTGCCAAAGGAAAGTCAACGGTCAGAATCTTTGAAGAAAGGAACTAAGTTAACCGGTAAGTGTGCCGAATAATATTTTCCGCGCTCCGTTCAATTTCCTTTTGGTTAGTAGAAAAGCTGGACTCTACAACCATCAATTTTTTTTTTATTTCGGTGTCGACCTATTTTACTACTGACACGTTTCTTTTTTTTGTTTTGCTTTATTTTCCTTTTTGATCGGTAGAAAGAAAATGTGGAGCCCTTTTTCTCAAGGCTTCAGTATCTTTCCTCAACCAGCACTGGAGCAGCAAACTGGTAAGTGTTCTGTTTTACACCGAAGAATATGACAAGAAATAAAACACTAAATTAAAATGGACGATGAAAAATAAAAAAACTCGTAACGGGTTCTGGAGTAATTCAAATCCAACAAAAAGATTAAATCGAGAGAAAAGCAGTGAAATAGTTAATTCAGTTCCAAGTTACAGTTCACCCCACGACAATTTTCTCAGTGATACTACTGTCGAGCAATCAAACTACAGTCGCTTGCGTTGAATATATCATGGTCGCTCCTTCTCTAGATCTAGATTTTTTAAATTTCCTTTAGCATTTGTCAAGTATTAAAATTTTAAACATTTTAAAATTGTTTGCGCAAGTGAAATTTATACAGCCATGTTTCAATCCTTATTTATTTATTTATTTCAGAATGAAAATTAGCGATATGAAAAGTGAACGACTTTTCGATGACTCCATGTTATCATTATCAAGTTCGAAATACATGATAGAATTAACTAAATATAAATAGTAAAAATGGTGTGAAAACATTTAGGGAGTCATCGAAACGTTGTACACTTGTCATATCGCTAATGTTCATTCTAAAGTGCTTTGCGAAACCTTTTATTATCAGAAACTTATTTATTTATTTATTTATTTATTTTATTCTACTTTATTGTCTTCAGGCTTCACTAGTAATGCCCAGTCCCATGACTCATGGAAGATTGACTTACCGGGAGGAGGTTTCATTGAAAAGCCTGGGTCAGAGCCCCGTTCCACTCACAATCACCCGTTTTCTCGTAGCGCCAAGTCCGACGAGTTTACAACACCAGAGGTAAGCGTAGATTTAAACTTGAATCAGTGTGTAAAATATTATCAATGTTTTGGCATAAAATAAAGGTTAATGTTGGCAAGCAACCGTTGCATGAACTCTCATCCATCTCTGCGGTCTTCCTCTCTCGTGATCCTCTTTATTTGGCGCCATGTCAGTCAAGCAGTAGCATGCCATGCAAGTAATCATTTCTCCCTTGTCAAAGTACTGCAAGTTTTCCTTCGCAGCAAGATCAAACCCTCCCACCCACCCTCGTATATTTCTCTCAGCCGGTTAGTCATTACCCTATATATAGGGGACCATAATTGTTCCAAGGTCTTACTAGTTGTTTATTACCTCTTTGTTAGCTCTTGTTACAAAATGTGCATCTTTGACAGTCTTATTAATAAATTTAAGGGCGGGGAATTGCTGCTGCACTCTTTCAGTCCTGTGCTGAAGCCCCATCAGGGAGGGGACATTTGTTACTCTGGACTGGGTTAACTTGGCCCCAGGACATTATTCCAGCAACAATGTCCGCCCTTGCAGTACAGGGATGGGGCACCCCCTTGGCAATGCGCCATGTATCGAGGCCCCTCATCCGGTGGATTCATCCGGTCTGTGGGTTTATCCGAGCCTTGTCAGTACATTCCCTGCCCATGATTGCCGCCCNCCCCCCCCCCCCAAATGGTCTTGTGTCGTTTTTGCACTCCATAACATTAAACAGTGGAAAGGCGAACATAGCTGGTTTGAGTGGCCTTATATAAGCGGGGTAAAATTATAAAGGATTATATAGATTGGGATTTCAGAATGCGGCCGTTGGACGTATAACAGGGAGCCCGTATTAACGGAGTGTTCCTATAAAAAAATGTATGGTCGGTTCGCCGGAACAGAAAAAAGTGGCCGTATTAACGAAGTGACCGTAAGGTGGGATTTCACTGTACTTTCCAATACGTTTTTTGAACTGAAAGCAGTTTGTATCCCAAAAGTTTGGTTTCCTGTTATATATCTAGGTATGGTATAATTTTCCCAAAATCATGCTCTGACGCGGTCTTCTAAAAGGAGCTAAGATATAACTAGATAGTTCGTGTTTTGTAGGAGAGGAAATCACTCCTGGATCGACTCGACATTTTGCTGGGAGAGAGAGCGGCCCGCGAAAGTGCACTTCAGGATCTCTTTGCCCAAGAGACCTCGCTGCAACAAACCTTGAATGAAGTAAACGCGGCCCTGGATATTCAAGACAGAGAGCTGTCACAACTTACAGAATCTGTGCGAATAAAGAAGGAAGAAATGTTGAACAGAATTGAAACCAAGAAATTAAGGATCGCAAATCTGCAAGAAACTCTGCGAATGCTTCACAGAGAAGAGACCCGGACCGCGAGTTATAGGATCCGAGCGGCAGAGGGTCGCGCCTTGAGGAAGCAAATCACGGGAGGCTATGAGGAAAGGAAAATTCTACAGGATAATGTTGATGAGCTGGACAAGAAAGCAGAACTGCTGGAGTTAAGATGCAAGACAATTGACACGGAGGAGAAAACTGTTTTGAAGAACATTAGCGAGGAAATGCAGAGGCTTGCCGAGGATGGCTATCTCATGGATTTTCCAAAGCAGGTTAACCAAAATAAAACCGTTCTATTTTAATCAGGGAAGAATATTAGAGCAAAACAATGTTTAGATCGATAGATACAGACTAGTTATGTAATGCTTTAGGGTGGCACACCATGGAATATTCCGCGAGTCGCTTGTATTTTCTCGGCAAACACACGAGCCATAAGGCGAGTGTGTATACCGAGAAAATACAAGTGACAAGTGAGATATTCCATGGTATAGCACGAGAGAGCGTTGAATAACTATTTTATACCATGCCATAGAAAAAACAGTGGCCAACACAATCAGTGGGACATACGCGCGGCGCATGATGGGAAGGCTAGGATCAATAAAATATGACAAAAAAGGTCGATACACAACCGGGAAAAGAGTTCTGATTTACTCTTGCTTTTTCGCACACGATACGTGGCGTCAATTAAATAAAAGGCGTGCGCAGTTTTGGACAATAAGGAAGATAAAAGGAAAAAATAAGATACGAAAAACAACATATACATAGAGCAGTTGTCTGCTGATTGTAAGATTTATTAAAATAATTTCTACTTCCCTCCGCAGTGTTGTATACCCGAGGATAACAACGAAATTATGGTGCAAGCAGAGTTACATCGGGAGCCAAAAAAGAACAGACCTCTTCTTCAGCCAGTTCAGAGAATGATCAAGCATTGTAAGAACGATCTTGCTGCGCAAATTACAGAAAAAAGAGAGCACCAGCAGCTGGCTGAGCAAATCGAGGTCCCTGAAGACAATGGAGAACTAAAGGGGAACATTAAGAAGGTAAGATAAAAGAACAATATAGAAATTATTAACAAAGCAAAACGCACAGCACTCAGATATACTTGTTAGTAGAGAGCGACCCTGTGTTAGTATATTTATAGAGCACCAATGAACTTAAATATGAAGGTTAGAAATCGTCGTCAAGTTCCCCTGCATTTTGTCGGTGAGAGGCAAGAACTAGGGACCGTGACGTTTGATGGTTAGGTGACAAAACAATCTTCACAAATCGTCTCTACACCTTGGTAGGACCAAAGTATGACTGGGCAGAGTAAACAAAGTTGCAAAAAAGATCTTCAATTAATTGGCATTGCGTATTGCTGAGCACTCAAAACACTGAGACTCTGGAATCACTAGCTATCATAGCTACCCTAGAACGATTGATTCCTCTCACTCACTCAGTTTACTGAAGGATGTTTTCATGTTGTCTTACAGCGAGGATTTATCGCCTCCGTAAAGAAACTGTTCAGAAGAAGATCCAACTCAGGCTCCGCTCACAAAAAGCGAAGCAAGAAGGAACCGAAAATTAAAGTCAAGTATGATTCTAAGCCTTCTGGTACAGTAACCATGGTAACCTTGAGTCAGGCGAGGAACCTACACAAGGCCACTGGTGAACTAGATGGAGAAACTTCGGCTCAAGAAAACCATAAAATTTTTGTTGAGAGTTGATTGACACTGGATGCCATAAAATTACGATAATGACATTTCAGATGATTACATTGTCTCAGCTGTTCATTGTTCACAGATTTCAATGTAAAACGCATATGATTTACCAATGTTTGTATGTACATGTGTCAAGTGATGTATAATTTTAATACTTGTTAAAAAAGATTTGTTATTAAAAGACCTAGCTCTTAGTCAGTGTGGCATCATGGTTTTTCTACTGAGAATTATGGGCCATTGTACTGGTAATGGAGCATTCACTCACGTGACCAGCTGCCATGCAAATTTATTAGAACAAAAGAAAGTGTTAACATAAAAAAAGAGTTTATATTGGTTTGGGTATGGCCACCGTTTCATAGTTGTGAGACACCAATATGGCTGCCGTGAAATCATGTGAAAACACTCCATATGTTTGTTCTTACCACATTTTGACGTTATCTGACCCACTTGACAGATAATAGAGCGGAAATCGGATAATCGCATTCCTGGACAGTACAAAAGATGGAAATTTCTCATTGGGAAGTACCTATTGTTCTCGAAAATGACTTCTCAAATGAATAAAACATTTAAAACATGGGGTAAGTCTCTACTGTTACCATCTGCTAATGAGACAAAATTGTGACTGAATATGGTCTATTAAAGCTCTCGTAAGTGACCACCTAGGCATTTTGGATGGTCGCCTACAGGAAGTTAGACTGTATCAAAGAAAAGCACACTTCTTTATGTACATGTTATTGTATTGATCACGTACTGCACTGCATGGGGTGATAAGTGAACATGTTCAGCTCTTACTTTAGTTTTCATATCGAGAGGAATATTTAGACTGTCTTATGACAGTGAAAAGTCAAAAAGCGAATTTTCAGTGTCTGGGTGTCAGTATCATGCCGTGTGTGCCCATGTGTGGCAAAGGTCAAACTCCAGGCTGTTTGCAGTACTTGAGGAACCTTGAGGTGCTAGGCAAAGATTTATTTTGGTAGTCTCACAAAAAGGTGGTGCCACAGCAAAGCAATATACAAGAGCACTGCCAAGAGAAGTTGGAAGTTTTATTTTCTAGATAAATATACACCGCTTAAGAAATGGTCATATACAGCAGAATTGGTTTTGCTAAATAATAAAAATAAGATCCCACGTTATTGATTTTCAATACAACTTTAGATGGCCTGTCACTTTATCCACCAGATCAACTGGGCCTGGAAAGTGAAACAAGAAGGGAATACATGCTAAAGGTTGTGTGCTGTAGAAGTGATAAAAATGTCCAAGGACACAACATTGACTTTAAAATGGTAAAAATCATATTCAAACTAAGGACACCCGAGCAAGTTTTCCTTCACAATAACTCATAAGTTATTTGATTGTGTAAAAGAACAGCAAGATTGTCATACTAAGGTTTCTTTCAGAAATTTACTCTATCAGCTCTAGTAAACAAATAAAATGGCTCCTCATAGAAACCTTTTCAACATCGGAATATCTCATTTTATACTGTAATCCATCAAACAGTTTTGCTTGCACACAGTTGGTCTAAACATGTCACATGACTAACTATGCCCCAATTAAAACTAAGGAATATCTGACTTCTGAGTGATATTCCTCAATTTTCAAATCCTGCAATTGCAAAAAGTATTTGAAAGATAATAAACACAATATCCCCCATTTGACTTTAAACATGCTCAGACATCAATTTTGTCCTTCGAAATAATCTGTTACTCAAAGTTCACAGTTTTCCTCAAGCTCTTCTCTCAGAAAACTGCTTGCTTCTTGGGGGAGAAAATGTCTGCTGACAAATATCCTGGAAGCATTTTTTTGTGCCAAATGAGGGCTATTGTTTATATAATGAGTCCAATGAATAGTGAAAAACTGGAAGCATTACCTGGTCCTACACCAAGGACAGTTTTAGAACCAGGGGCTATTTGTGTCCTGCCTGCATCTTTTACAAGACATGTCTCTAAACCCAAAGATCTTCCTTTTCTTGTGAGGTCCACTCTGTGAGACAGCAAGTTTAACATTGTGAATCATATTATGCTTAAGCCAAAATAGCATTGAGACTTGATTGTCACCAAGAAGAATTCCTTAAAAGTAATGAGCTTCAAAATATTGAACAACAATTTTACCTTCACTCATTCAGAATGGGTTTAATTCAGTTTTCAGAACCATGGAAAAAAAGAAAAAAAAATAGAATCTGTGTGCACATTTAAACTTCAACATCTGCCAAGCTAGGTCATATACTTAGGGTTAAAAGTACACTTTTTTGCACAAAACTCAAGACTTTTTAAAAACGTTTTCTAAACCATTATTTTGTTTTCCCAAATGCAAGAAAACAAGCACATTTCCCTCAAAATATGGCCAACAACATGCAACCATGATCAGCTGTGAGAGTACTGTGTCTGCAATGGGATATGGACACACCATAATAATGCACTTGAGGAGGTAGTATGGAGAGTTATTTTTGGCTAAGACAAAAATTTCATGAAATACAATAAATTGGCTGAGAAAAGTTTCCCATACATGTAGCAATTAAGCTTGCTGCAGAATGGCAAAAACTACATTTTTCCAGCATTTGAAGATCACTATCTTCTATACTATTTTCCAGATCTGGTAAACTAGTTTACAGATCCCAAAAATTCCAGATTCTATACAAACTGTGTTAAAATACTAGGATGGCATGTGACATGTAGCCTGCATTATGTGGAGATAGGAGTGCTAGCTCAGATAACTCTGCAACTGACCAACTAATTTTCTAATGATACTTGTCAGACCCATGTAAAATTATTGGTAATGGTCACCAACAGGATCCTGTACAGTGCATTTCCAAATATAACCAACTGGGGCATATCTCAAGAATAACATTACTTTATTTCTAGTCTGGAAAAAGCCATCCCTGTTATGCACATCTCTGATGTTACACAACTGAACATGCTTCATGATGTAACATGCAAGATGTTTATCACAATTTTGCAAGACAATCAAGTTGATGGAAAGTTGCATGTTGAAACATCTGTTGGCTGACAAGGCTGTAGAGGTTGGTATGATCTATACTTACAACAAGACAACAGGAAGATGTTATTTCAAACCTAGGTAAAAGTACACCTGCAAGCAAAAAGAGGGAAGAGTATCCAGGTATTAATATTATCTTCATACTTACAGTGTTGTTTCATCTGGTGCCTTTACAACAACTTTAGCACAAGCTGTTTGTTCCCATTGATGTAGAAGCTGTGAAAACAAAGAAAACAAAGCACAAGCTAGCATAAAATCTCGATGTTTCGTATTAAAAAAAATGAATATTACAGAATTAAGGGAAACTATACATTAAATAAATTGGTTTGAAAATTTTAAACCATGAACAACTTTAACCACAACTTACGCACTGTACATTACCTTGGGGTTACTCTTTTCCAGCTGTTTACAAAGACCAACCGCAGCATGACAGCACTGAAATCAAAATAAACACACTTAGACGACTTTGCAGAATGGAAGCAAAGCAGAATTCCAATTCAGCTCCCAAGTTGGAACATTTGACAAGTGATAAGTGATAAGTAATAAGTGAGATGTGGAGACATTATACTCTGAAATTGTGTATCAGTACTACGTGCACCATCCTGACAAGGGACTGTTAAATGAAAGACATGAAATGTCATCCTGTCTTTAGCCCATAATTAGGATAAGGGTTTCCAGACATTCATAGTAGAACCCCCATTTGGGGGATGGAGGGGGGAAGGACCCCCATGTGAAGGGGTTGGGGATGCTCGTCAGAAAATGCAAATTAGACCCCTGAAGGAGACCAATATGGGTGTTGCTGGACTAACGTTCAATTGTCAATGACCACTAAGCCAGATGAACATCCCGACCCTTTCACATGGGAATCCCCCTCACCCTTACCTGCTGTGACGTCCTCCAAACCTCACATTGCCACCTGATATTCTTAAGGTTAGTGGAAGCTTAGGACAACTGTTATAAGTTCATTTTATTGGAATTTCGAGTGTAAACATAGAAATGAGCCATGGATATAAATTAGGCTAACACAAACAGCAATATGATGTTGCTGTTTACCTACTTGTGCAGCAACTTTTCCTTTCCCCATTCCAAGATCTTGTCTAACCACTAAAACCATCTTGTATTCACCAAATCCATTTGCCAAATCCAACATTGCTGGCTAAAATGATATGATATCATAATGACAAGTAACATTGACAAGTATTGCTGACAGTCACTTACATATTTCCCTTGTAAGTAGTTTTAGAATAAATACTCTTATTGTTTAGTTTAATCTAGTGAAACTAAAAACGCAGACAGTTAAATATCATCATTATTTGTTTGTATCATTATCATCAATCATTATTTGCATCTGAGTGGTGCAAACAATGTTTCATTGTTGTAATCAATCTTTTAATGATTACTGAGTCAACTGAGACAGTTTGATAATAGACTATCTGAATTTTGTTCCCATTGGCACCAGTGGTATTTAGGTGTAAACAACCATAATGGATTTGAATTTTAGTGATAAATTAGTCTGTCCACAGATCCTCTATTTTATCTTGAAGTCGTAAGCTTAGCAAAAAATTAACCCAGCATGGCACATGGGTTATGAACAAGCCAAAATGCAACGGGTTGGGGCTGGGAAAGACAAAAATAGAGGATCTGTGGACTTCTTTTGAGAAACTGAATCCTCAGTTTCTCCAGAAATAGAAAATTCCTATTGTCTAAAAAGCCATTAACATGTCAAGGATTACTCACATGCTTAAAGAAAAATAACTCATAGCAAACAAATACGTGTCTGTGGACAGACTAGCAATAACTCTAGACTGTCAACAAGTCATGTTTTGTTGGACTTTAGACAAGTCAATAAAATCTAATGCTATAAATCTTGTTTCTTAGATTTTAAAGGGTAAACAGCTTTTGATCTTTCATGAGGGGCCATACATGTAACCATTAGCTGTTTCTCTATATGTGTAGTTTAAAATGGATATTTCTGGGGAATGAAATTTTAAGATGCCAGAGAACAAAATTAAGGTTTGGCAATCTAACCAAGTCGTGTGTTCTGTTGCTTGGAAAGGGAACGTTCAACCTATCAGTAGGCTCTAAATCAGGATTCAGAGGAAGAAAGAAGAAGAAAGGAAGGACATTCCTTTAATTTCTTTCATTGAACCCTAGCGGTGAGGCAGCTCCCAGAGTGAACCAGAAAGAAACTGTGAGCTCTTCCTCCCCAGCCCGCGCTCGTACAGCCAGACTTCCAGGCCAAGCTAGAACGTGTTTCTGAGTTATCACTTGAAGTCTTAGTACTCGTGAATCTCACTCTTTGGTCAAGTTAAGCTAAACTTAGTTTACTAGCTTACCTGTTCATTCAAAGCGCCGTTTATGTTTATCTGTCCTCTCAAAAACCAGCCTGTGGAAAGGCCTATTAGAAGAGCTAATATTAAAATAGCCGACCCACTAAATTCTCCTATTTGCTTCACAAAATATTCCATTCTGTCCACTATTTTTCAATTCTTCTACCGATTCAGACCTTTTCTTTAGCGCCTTTTTGCGCCCTTTTTACGATTGTTTTTTTTAAGAATATGAGCCTACGAGTTTCCGAAACAGCAGTCTATCACGAAGAAGAAGCGTACGCATAGATTTTCTAAGGTGTGTAGCTGCTGAATCCTCGCTCCCGCGCAGTTCAAATGTTTTCCTGAAATTGTCAAAATATTTAGCGGTTTAGATTTCTAAGTTACCGCTGAATTCCTCCTGATCATCCCAGTTTTATCTCCTAGGAGGCAATCTATTGAACCACTACAGCTCATCTTAAAGTTCAATGATGACAGCTGCCCTCGATCAAGTGAAAACTTTACACGAAGCTGGATTGTTTTCGAGCTCTAGGCTGTTAGTGAGTGTCCAATTCTTTTTAGCTCATTTGCAAACGTCTGTCAAATATTTGATTGCAACGTTTACGCAGCCATATCTCCGTTTATGTGAAAGACTGAACCCTGAAATTGCGAAAATCTAGTAATAAATATCACAGGCAAATATCCAGGCATATTTTCATGCCAAATGGAGCGGAGGGTGTAATTTGCAGGTTGCAGGTTGCAGGTTACAGGTAGCAGGTCAGATGATGACGGTGACGGTGACGGTGATGATGATGATGATAATAATAATAATAGAGTCATACAAACTTTATTGTGTACTTTTTCATACAAACTTGAATCTTACATGTATCTGTTATAACAATTTAGAAATTTTGTTGTTCCTTAAGTTTTTTCCCTAAAATAATTTCTGTACAAATTTCAATAGCCTACCTACATAATTATACTCTGTAAGCATTTAGTAATAATAATAATGATGATAACAACAAAAACATGGTGAGTTTATAAAAAACGACAACAACAATAATAACAATAATCATCATCATCATCATCATCATCATCATCATCGCCGCACTCACAACAAACTTGAGGGAATATAAACACTTATGCACTTATGAATGTGCGTACAGGCTATGAATGTCGTTCACCCAAAGATAGTCCCACAGATGGTTTTGAAAATAGTGCTGAACTTATTGTTAAGCAAGCAGAGTTATCTTCTCTCATTTGATTAGTTCATGGACAATATACAATAAATTTGACTGGGCAGCGTTAAGGTGAGCACATACACTGAACCACAAACATTTCCCTAACTTTAATTGTTATCGGTTAGAGATGACATAAAACAACAACCCTGCTGATCTCAAAAATAATTAGCATAAAGTTATTTAAATTGCCCAGACATTTGTGTAAATTAAGATTACTTTGCTGATGAACGTCATAACACCAGTATAAACACCAGTGGAGAGTTTATCATTAACTTCTACCAGACAGTCTTGCCAATAAAATGCTTCCGGGAATTTTAAATTTTAACGTCTGGTATTTATTCATTCATTCATTTATTTAGTTATTTATTTATACTCATCATTATTATCTATATTTGATCTGCAACCTGCAAATTACACCCTCTGCCAAACGGAGGCTATTGTTTATGTATATACACATGCGGGGTGATCACAGTCTAATATTTGTCTCGTGTCATGTTCCCTATTTTTCAGGCAAGTTTTTTATTGTCTGCCACTGAGCATGGAACTCAAGATAAATATGAGCTTAGTAACATGGTGAACAAGTACCAGCTGCTGGTGTATTTAGCTGATTCATTGTTTGATGATGAGCAATACAAAAGGGCAGAGGTATAAAATATATATTTAATTAGACAGTTTAGTGTTTCCAAATTTTAGTAATTAAATTTTGACAGCACAGTGGGTTTTTGTTCTTAGGAATGCCTTTTGAACACCCTCTGGACCACTATTACTATAGTGTTTGCTAGCATAATCTTAACTGTCTTCCTGTAATTTTTAGATAGCAAGCTGTAATATGATCCCAATTTTGTGGAAAAGAAAAGCATAAAATGTTTTTGTAGTAATGAATGTTTCAGTCGTTGTATAAACATGATTGTGTAAGAAAATCTGATACAATTTCTTGTTAACTTAACAGCAATTTTACACAAGAGCAATCCAGTTAAAGAAAATTATCATCAAACACAAACCAAAGACAAGTCCACCACTGGTAAGTCATATCAACTTATTTACAAAGTCATTAATAATATCATCAATATATTACAGCAGCATAAATGTTCACTTCAATTAATTTCTCTTCTCTCACTAAACTCCTTCAGGGTTTGCTGTCAGAGGTTGAAGTAAAATACAAGATGTCACAATGCTATTTGCATCTCAAAGAGTACAGAGAAGCGACAACAATAGTATGTGAAGTTGTGTCACCTAACCGACACTTACAAGTTTTCCATTTATTGATGATAAACCAGAAAGAGACTGTACTTGTAAATATCAAACTCTGTCTTTAATTAGTCTGACACTATTCAGGGAATGCTCTTACTATACATGTACTAAGGTACAATAATGCATAAAATGCATAATGCCTAAGATTTGTAGCGTTTTATTTTTTGTGCAGCAACTAAGTTGCAGTTTTGTTTTGAGCTTAGATATAAATGAGGACAAAGAGATGGAGCTAACAATATCTTAATTCATCTAAATTGTTGAAACTATTCAGATTTGTGTATAAGCTTTGTGCAGCAGTTGTCTGGTTTTGGAAAAGAAATATTTTAACGATGAATTATTTTTCCTACAGCTTGAAGGTATATCTCAGAAACAGAGATCACTGAAAATTAACATGTCCCTAGCTAAACTTTACCAAAGACAAGGCATGGAAAGGTACTGATTAGAACTGTTTAAAATAAAGCACTGTCAGTAAAGCCATCATCTCCTCTCTTCTGTGTCATTCAATGTTTGGTTCACCACTGACTGTTTGCAGTTTTTTCAGCACTCAATTTCTGCAGTAATAGCATGCTAGCACAGACTTTTCTGGCCATTAGTCAGAGTGATGTCTAGTGAATCATGGATAAGAGTCAGTATCAGCCTTCAGTTGAGTCTCAAGGTCTATACTCCATCACCTAAAAGTAGTCACAGAGTTCCCACTAGTTTTGATAGTTAAGGGTCCTTGGGACTCCCAGTTCCAAAGAGTTGGGGTTCTTTTGGCTTTTCAGGGGTCCTGTGCCTATTTACTAAAATTTTTGGAGCTTTTTTCCTGTGTCCCAAGGACACCCTTTGCCAAAACACCATGCGTCCTTTTCATTTTTTGTTCGTATAAGATGCACACCTGTGGATTAATGGGTCGGAACTCTGGAGTAGGTGGATAACAGAGAATTGTTTGCTTGGGAAAACCTGACAAATTATACCTGGTGATCGATAAAGGCCTTATCCAGATGGGTTAAGGGTGTACAAGTAGTCATGTTGTACTACAGCAACTGCAATCACCTGCCACTCTGGCAAGAATTGTAGACCTGCAATAACAGTTTAAATTTAAGTGATTCATGAACTAAACATTGTTCCAAATAGTTGTGTTCAAATTCATGTTTACATTTATATAATATTTACTTTTTTGTCAACAGATCAGCAATTTCTTGTTATAAGGAAGTTTTAAGGTGAGAATTATCTGGAGATACATGTTTTATTAGTTCATGGAAAGCTTCTCTTTTATGTGTATGTATCTGGCAATTTTGATTTACACACTGTTCGGTCTGTGTCATGCTTTTCAAACAGTTAGAAACCACCTGATAAGATTGAGTGTGCTGAATGCTGTGTTACCATAACTCTTTTGAAACACAGAACAAGCATAAGCTGTTGACGATATGATTGCACAACCAAAGATAATGTACATTTTGATACGGTGTCATTGCTCCTATCAAGTTACAGTTACAGTAGCAGCCTTGAAAGCTTTAGAGAACTTGAAAAAAGTGGTGGAACACTCTCCTGTAGTGTGTGTTCCCACATACTTGGTCATTCTCCCAAACTACCACTCATGTATCAATTAGTATAACTCAGAACAAGCTTGGAAAATGTTTTTTTTTAATGTGCCTTTTTTTAAAAAAAATCATTAAATTGAGGGTTGTCTGTTTTGTTGTTTAGAGTGTGTCCTTTAGCTCTTGAAGCTGTGATTGGCTTGTTGTCGTTAGGAGTTCCTGGTTCTGAAGTGACATCATTAACTTCATCATCAACTTCTGCAATGGACTGGTGAGATGTTTGTCTTGAGTTTTTCCTGTTATGATTTTTGCTAGAGCATCTGACCAGTGTTCAGAAGGTACAACTCCCATCTGGGACTCTGATATTTCTGTCATACTGAGTTTGTATTGACAATTGAGTTTACAATGTACAGTGCATGTCTTTCAGTTTATGGCTTATACGGTGAAGCCTTGTGCAAAATCCTAGCCAACCAATCAAAAGTGCACATTTTACCACAAAGCTAACATTAAAATTATATAAATTACTCATATACACATGGTAACTCAAAGCATATTTTTGTGTTGATTGTTCACCAGGATTGGATCATGGATAAAAGCACAAGTGTTGGCAGCCTCAGGGAAGCATGCAAGTGAGTCCATTCTCTATATTTTGTTAATTTAGGATATAATCCTAGATCATGATAGAATTATCCATTTTGTCATGATAGTGGAAGAGTGAATGAAATGCCATGAAGGAAATATGTCTACAATTCCTGTGCTATTTGTTATGGGCATCAGTAAGAGTGCAAGTAATCCTCTCCCAGGTCAAAGTCAATTTGAATTCTACTTTCTGATTACTTTATACTTGCTTTAACATTAGCTCTGAGAATGTCATGATAAATCAGAACTTACAATTTTCCCTACTTAGCTGATGAATTTCACTATTCTCAACACGTGCCTGTTTGACAGTGTGAATTGAATCTGTCACAAGAATTTACACATAGAACATTCTAAGAAAAAACCTGGTGGAGAGTCATGTAGAGCTGTTTAGTTCAAATGGTAAATGAAAACAATGTTTCTTTCCTTAGAGGGAGCTCAAGCACTGAAGACTTTGGAAACACAGGTATGCGTCAGCAAAAACGTGTGTCCATAACACATTCGCAAAAACGCACAGGCCATTTTAATGCGTTAGGGGTGCGTTAAGAATGTGTGTGTGATGTTTGTTTAGTTCTGAGCGGTACTGTAGCCAGGCAGTAGACAAGATATTACACAAAACATCATAAGATTTGACAATTTTTTTAAATACATGTACTGTTCTCTACATGTGCTTGTCTGAATTTTAAAATTCATTCACTGTATTTAATTGTTCTTTATTCAGGGCCACATGTTCATTAGTTGTACAAACTATCATGTGCTACCCTCTTTAAATAAAGTTTGTTTGTTTGATTGATTGATTGATTGATTGTATAGTAATGCAGTTTATCATTTTTTTTTTTTGCAGTGTTTACGTGATAATGTGGAACTGCTGTGCAATGCTGCAGAGATGTTTTACAATGGTGGAGATTACAACAATGCTAAGTCTTTCTTCCAAAGGGTAATTCACACAAGAACATACCTGGACAAATGTAGTCCCTGCCTTATTACAGTTAGTCATGTCTTCATGTATCTCAAAAGTCTAAAAGATTGAGAACAAAAATCCAAAAATGCCTGAGGAAAATGTTGAAGAGTATGTGTACTACATGTATGTGCAAGCCTAAGAATATGCTGGAGCCCGTTCTGTGCTTTAGGTGTAGTTTGCAGCATGCTAGGGCGAAGGGGAGAAGGAGGAATACAAGAAAGTGTCATCTGAGTAAAACCTACAGAATTTAGAAATTATTATGTTTTTCTCTATGACCATGAAACAAGGGACATCTCGTCCCTGTTACCTCTTCCCCCACCACACCACCAACCATGCTTAACGTTTTGACTGACCCGGGCAGTTTGTTGTTGTCTGTCTTGAACTCTTGGATGTACTTGTGTGACTGCTGGCTCCCTTTATTCCCACATGCAGGCTCACTCTCTGGACCCGTGTGTTCTTCAGGGTATGGACACATATGCCTTCTTGCTGTCACAGGGTGGATGTGGTAATAATGAAGGGTTAGAAAAGTAAGTGATCTATGATAAAACAACACTAGAGTCTAGTGTTTGAGCAGTGCTTTAATTGAACCCTGTGTTAAACTAACATATATGAAGGAACAAAGGTTCTGTAGATTGTCTGTGCACTGTGGACTGGCTGGAAATTGCGCAATCTAGGCTGTACATGACAAATACACCCGGGGGGAGGGGGAACTGTCATATACGGGCTAAATAGATATGTGCCGCTGTGAAGGGTGTGGTTTTCAAGCAGTTTACTGTAGGATAAGGTATATAAATCAGAGCATTTGGGTCTAGAAATAGGTATCATTTTTTGCGAAACTGACCAGTTGGTTGAAGATTTTATCTAGACTGAGGAAACCAGGAATTGCAACTCAAAAATATAAAAAATCAAATCGGTAAGTTTAAATTTACGCAAATAAGTCTCCACAGTGTCGATAAATGGGGGGATTTGGGGAGTTTACTCTAGTATAGGGTGGCAAAATTCAGCTGAACTAGCTCTGGTTTAGGCTAAGGGTTCCAGGGTCCCAGTGGCACATCCTTACCCAAAAATTCCCTAAGTACCCCCCCCGGGCAAATACGTCACTGTGATGCTAACTGTGAACGTGCAGCGCAAAACGCAATTTTTCTATGGATATAGAAGTCACACATGTGCTGTGGAGCCCCGTTAATACGGTCAGCAACGGGCCACGAAAATTTGGCCGTATTAACGGGGTGGTCGTATCAAAGGGGTGGAGTCGAATTTCATGAATGATGACGTCTTAACAGATATATAAATTTATAACAATTGTACTTCTAAACAACTGTTCTAACAAGCACCTGGAATGCAGATATAATTTTTAAAAAATTGAAACTTCAATAAGTACATACAATATTATCAATGGAAAGATGAACATAAGGGACCGTTCATTTTTTATGAGGGAGGGGGGGCTGATGGGATTTGGGAAGCACCATTTAAAAATCGCGTGACCCCCCCTCAGCTTACCAATTTTTTCGCGTGGCCCCCCCCTTATAGCTGTCATTTTTTGGGATGACCCCCCCCCAAAAAAAAAA